TCTCAAGTTAAATGGGAGTAATCCTCCCTGCTTGCCAGAACCCGATTTGTTTGCATACGCAGAAAAGTCTTCTTCCCTTTGAGATACACCAGGTATCCGAGACATCCACACAAGGCTTGCAGATGAGAGACAGAGGCTGTTGAAGAGGGACCTTGTGTGAAGAGAGAGATGGAGATGTGTTGGGGTGCCCTCAAGCAGCTCAAATGGCAGTGTACATATCTATATGGATATATGTAGGGTGGTCCAGAAGACTTTAGCTTTTAAAAACCTAAGTCTCAGAATAGAATTTTCTTGTTATCTTGAAAGTTTCCTAGGTGTCAGCCCTTGGGTATTTAAAAAAATGCAAATAAGTGTATAATTTATGTGGGGAAATGCTCTCCTTCCCTCTTTTTTCAGTTTTGAAACAAGTTTGCAAGTGTTGTTGGCCCAGAAGGGTTTCAGGCCAAAGGAGCCTGACCCCTATATAACACAGGAGAAACTGCTCAGCCATGGATACACATGGCTGCTTTAAGCTTTCTGCATCTAGCAGTCACTGGACAAAATACAGAAATAAAACCAAATTCAGAGAGAGCATAAATCAGCATCATAAAAAATAGTAATCATGAATGTTGATGCATCAAGATGTACTGGGAGACTGAATAAAAGATCAAGAGCAAATGCATTTACTTACTTTTTATAGCATCTCACTATTTTATTTTCCTCTTGTTACCCTTCCATGTAGGATGTGCTACATGGAGCAGATTTAACCACCTGTTCAGTAGAGAAATTAAATGCTTTAGAAAAACATTTTTCATTTCTTCCCTTTAGCGTCCACCAGTGGATGTTCTCTCTGACCCCAGAAGCAGCTGGTGTAACTCAAATAGCTCATTAAAAGTGCCTTGTGATCCTTTCTGTTGTGCACATGGCACTTTAACCTGTTTGCTCTTGGACTTTCTCCTCTAACAACTTCCCTCAAAAACAAGTTGCTTTTTATTTGGGAGAGATATTTGCGTGTTGTCAGAGAGGAAGATTCAAATTGGGCACAGCATCATAAACACAACACTTGCAAATCTCTCTGGTTTTAGGCAGTAGGAAAATGAGTTCCTAGCATTTGCTAGTACTTCTCCAGACAAGGGTGTTCATTAAACAATGTTAATGTTTTTCTTCTCTTAAAAGCCAAGCTATGGTATGAGGCAGCCTTGTGTTTAGCTGTTGCTCACTGACTAAAAATCCTATGGCAACCAATAAATGGAAGCCAAAAAATGTTGCAATATTATTTTAGAGGACTCGTCTGCTTATTTTTACAGTTAGCCTTGCATAACCTTCTACATTTTTGGACTCTGCCTTATGTAGAATATTTCTTAAAGTTTCCATTGATTTCAATTGTGCACTGCAAATTAGGAAAACTCCTGAAAGAATTAGAAAAAATGAGTCACAAATACTTTCCCTTTATGATGTTATCCTGCCCTTCTATAACCTATTTATGTACTGCCCTTACATAATATTTATTTGGTGTCGTAGTTTTGCTAAGGTTCTAACACTAATTTCTTTCATATGCGAAGCAAAGATGAAAACAGTGTCATGATGGTGGTTTGAAATGTGTTTGCTTCCTGGGGTTTAAACCTGTGGACACAAGTCACGATATCTGGCTTCCAGCTGAAGACTGGAGCTGGGTTTCCAGCTTGAGCCATCACATACTTATCTCAAGAGTGCCTAGGGTTTGAGAAAGTCTTTTTTGTTCCAAGGTGGTTGTGGAGATGAATTATATATATTATTTATTATATATATTATATATTATATATTATTTCATTGCTTTATAAGCAATTAAAAGCAGTGTAATGGTGGGTTTAAAATGGCATGTGAAAAAGCCCATTCAGTACCAGTGCAGCTGAAGTGTTTGGTGTATGCCTATCTCAGTGTTACCCTGGCATAGCTCATTGCTACCAGCAGAATGTCAAAGACTACATCTGTAAGATTCAGCCTTAGGATCTATAGAATCTGTAGAATCTATAGAATACATAGAATATATATAGAAATGATATATTTCATTCTCTCATCCCACAAAAATAACCTAAAAATCCCTGCAGCCTCTGTAGCCAGCGGTGCAGCAGCACATGAATTCCTTCAGGCTGGCTCTCTATAGGTTGACTGGTTCACGCCTGATGTTGCAACCCCATCACCCATGACGAATTACACGTGCAACTCTTGCAAAATTGTATTCTGAATAAATAAAGGCCTGGAACTTTATCCCTGTCTTTCTTCAGCGAATAGGATCTTAGGTTGGATGGAAATGAACAGGTTTGTGTGCCAGCATGTGAGCATGAGGCTGTGTGTGCAGCCGCATAAATGAACAGTCCCAAACGAGAGAGGGGGTGGGCATGCACCGTTCTGCTTCTGTGCACCAAGCTGCGAAAGAAGCTGAAAAAGGAAATTATAGCATGTTCCTCAGCTGCTTCCGAGTAACATAGCTTATTTCTCCAGCAAGAAGATCTGGGAAAGGTTTGGTGCTTTTGTGGGCTGGAGATTTCCTGCAAGCAGGGCTGGCAGCTGGAAAGGGAGGGAGCTGATGGGAGGTGGCAGCCTCCAGGCCTTCGCCGTTCGGGAAATCCTTGCCCATGCAAATATACAGGTTTTGTAATTGAAAATCTGTGTTACCTTGTGCATATATAGAAAAATAACACGGAGAGCAACCTGTTCAATTCTTAGATTCTTTAAATACCATCAGATGGGTTTCGGCACACAGGGCTTTAGGTTTCTGCAGGAAGAATGTCTCAGCTCCTGACAGTTCATGGACACCCAGTCTGCCCAGCCTGTGGAGCCCAGAGCGTGATTTATGTCATCCCAGAGCAGACATTGATACTTGATCAGATGAGTGGTGCCCTAAACCCAATGCCTGAGAACAATTTTCTTTTTAAAACAGTGACCAAAACATGTAGCTCAAATATAGAAGGCAAAGTTGTAGTCACCAGAAATCAAGAAAGCTGCATCCTACTTTTAGCGTGACACAAAGGCTAAGAAAATAAATATAATAATTTACATTCCCATTGGTTTCCATGGCCCTTGAACAAGGACATTAAACATAAGAAAAAAAGAAGCATGTGTGCAAACAGATATCTTATACATTCAAAAGTATGCATTTAAAGATAATAAGGTAGAATATATCTATTCATATGATAATCCTATTAAAATGTAAACTTGGGTTGCAAGTTCTTTGGGACAAGGACAGGAGGTTTTTTTCTCTACATTTGTATATAGCAGCATAAAAAGTCTGGATATGCCTAGGACTGAGGGGTCCTTCTGACTACTGAAGTAAAATTAATATATTAGAATGGTTGAATAGTTTTAGGATCAAGTACAATATGTCCTATTTTATGAGATCAGCAGCCTTCTGCTATTCTTTGGGCAAGGCCTCTGCTCTTTTCTAAATTAATTATTTCTGGATTTTTTTTGTACAATTGTTATCTATGAACTGCAACTGACCTAGTATTATCTATTTACCTAAAACTGACCTAGTATTGCAAAACCCATTTCTCACAGAACCTAAGCAGGTTTTAACCCAGCTTTTGAAAGGAAAGCAAAATATAATAATCTACTTCAGCAACTGGACTCAGAAAACAATCTATTAGGAGTAAATGAAAACAAATAATTTTCCCTCCATTGTCTTTTTCTGATAAAAGGTCACATAAAAATCTTGTAAACTGCAGTATTGTCATTTTAGATGCTCCCTGTATACCTTGGAATATCCGTTCAAGAAAAAACATACAGTATATTTTCTGAAGGCTTTCTTTAAAGCAATACAGTGTCAACAGTGATCCATTCTGAGCTACACTAATGTTTTGTACAGTCCTGTTTGGTTTATTACTGTTGTTCATTTTGTGAACATATTTATTTATTTACTTATGCTCAGTCCTGACAAGCACTGGAAATGTTGCCAGGATCAAGGCTTTTGTGTTGATAGTCATAGCCTTGAACTTCTGTTAGGAGGGTGCCAGTGCTGCTCTAGTGAGCTGCCCACATTGATCCATCTCCAGTGTTTGGACTGATTTCAAGTACTCCAGAGCAAGAGTTCTCTCTCCAAGGGTCCTCAGGCTGCAGTCAGTCTGCAAAGCCTCTGTTTGGGGTTCCAAAGCATCTTCTTACCTGAAGCCAGCACTGGCAGACACAGGTGGGCACCGCTTGTGAAGGGCTGTGGAGTTTAGGAGAGTCCTAGGAGGAGGTGCTGCAGCTCGGTTTTGCTACACACCTCTAACCCAACCTTTAGATGGTTTCACACAAAAAGAAGTGTTTTGAGGGAAAACTCAGTACCTTCATAAGGTGGAGGTATGATGTCCTCTTGTTTACAACCTAGTAAGGTGTTTCTTGCAATAGGAAATGCTGTTGTAAAGGAATGTTGCAAATTATGTGTACTTAGTTCTTGCTGGAGGTTATTGCAACACACATTTACTGATCTGTTAATTGTGGTAGGTTAATTATAATCCCCCTTCCTTACTCAGAATGAACAGCCTTCATGAAGGGGAGATTGTGAAACAGGGGAAGAGAAAGATTAATTTATTCTTAAAAAAGAATGAAATTAGACAAAGAGAGACGAATGCAGAGCACTCTCTCATCCCTTCTCACAGCTCAATACTTTCCATGGTTCCTTTCTTTTTGTTGCTACTGTGTCACTTGTCCCACTTCCTATTGCAATGCATAATTCCCAGTCAATGCATTCAAGAATTTCATACATTCACACATCACATCTTTCCAGCTTGTACTGTAGTGTTTTCTCCTCTCATATTTTAACAAAAGTTTTGTAGTTTTAGGGGTTTTTTAAAGACCTCATCTTCTGGAGTGTTTTTTTGTTGTTGTTGTTGGTGGTTTTTTTTCTTTTAAAGTTCAGAGTTTTTAAACAACCTGTGTGTGTTTTGGAGGCCTGACTTGTTTGTTATTTTTGGTGCTGAAGTTGAACTGAACTACAAAAGCCAAGAAATGTCGTAAGCACAGCTCTAACTACTGTGTTGTAATCTTATTTCATTCAGCTGCTGAGGGCTTATATGGCCACTGAAAGGAATGCAGTCCTGGCTGAGTACTTTTTCCAGTGAAGAAATGTTAATTTGTTCCATGCCATCCCCATTTTTTGTGCACCTATGTTTAAAATCAACTTTCACTGATCACCTCAGGTAAGATACAGAAGGAGAGAGGAAGAAACTGAAGTTCTGTGTTATTTCTAGACTTCTCAGAAATTATATTCTTTAAGAGCAGTGAATTTTAAAAGTTTTGTGGTTTAGTGGTTTTTATAATATACATCATTGTTTTGCAACTCAGTATTCCTCTTCAGAATATCTCAAATGTCAGAAATAGGAGATAATAGAAATAATGCACATTATCAGACCAACTTGAAAAGCACTAAGCACCATTCCACACCAGAAACCTTCAGGAGTAATGCTGTTTTGATCCCGTTTCTGGCCTATGACATGTTGGAGGTAGGTTGAAAGTTCCAGTCATGTGTTCAGAAATAACTGTCTGAAGCTGAGTTTCAATACAAAAAGTATTTTGTATCATTATTTATTTTTATTAATTAGATATTTTAAAAATATATCACATCTATGTAAATATTGTCTATAAGTAATACCATACAATACAAATAATATATTAAAATTATCATATAGTGCAATAAAATATATTTCTCTATGAGTGTAATTTGAAAACAGTTACATATTTACATGTCTGTATTTATATATAGACAAAACCAAAGGCCATTCTGTGGTCTCTGCTGTTCAGCTAGGTAAGGAAGGTGTTCTCAGGCTGCAAGACAAAGGGCTATTTCATCAGGCTGCTCTGTCATTCCTTTCATATAAACAGGGCTAAGCAGAACCACTAGCGGTGAAAGAGTACACTGCAGATGCCTCGCACAGATTTTGCTTTCAGTCTCGGGAGCTTCTAGGGCAGAATGACTCAAGTGGCTGTGGTACCAATGCCTACAGGAAACAGGAAAAATTAGGTGAAAGGAATGCAGCAAACTGATTGAAAGAACTCAAATCTCTATAGTCATTCAGTTTTTTTCTGATCTTAATCTCTTAATTTTGCCCTTCCCTTCCCTTCCCTTCCCTTCCCTTCCCTTCCCTTCCCTTCCCCACATTTGCTCCCTTTGGACTTCCCCCTGCCCTGTGAATGGTGCTGAGGCTCCTGAATCACGAATTGAGAAGTGCAGTGACCTGATGAAATAAATTACTGTTAGAGAAAAAACTCTATTGTAGAGTTTCCACCCTTCAAAATCCACACTCTGGAAGGGAGATATCCCCTCTTCCATTTCCCAAATGTTTGGAGGGTCATACAGGAACTGAAAAGAGTGGGCAATTTTTGATTTTCTTAATTGCCACAAGACATTTAAAGCTTTAAGCTGTACAACCACTCTCCCCAGCTCTTACTACATTCAATCACACTTGAATGCACTGTAGCAGAATTTCATTTAGATTTTGTAAGGTTTGTCCTTTTGAAATCAGCATAAATTATAATGTTCCAGTCAATAGTTTGTCCAACAGACAGCAAGTCACTTGATTTTGCTTTAGCATGTCTCAATCTGTTAAACAATAGGGCTTTTCTTTGCTGAAGTGGGACTGGTGTGCATGCAGTAGAATAAGCTCATTCTAACAGCTTTTCTTTGCTTTTCTGTTTTAGAGAGAGAGAATTTGTAAATACACTGTATTAAATCATGTTTGGTATCAAACTGTGAACCATGCTGATAAAAGAAGAATTGACCCAAACTACTCAACCTCAGTCTAATGAGATCAAAAGACATCAGGTAATTTTAGGTTATTTGTTTGGGGTGTTTGGTTTTTGTTGGTTTTTTTTTTTTTTTTAGCTTATTTTTTCACAGCTATTTAATTGTTTTGGGCTTTTTTTCCCCTAAGAACATCTGAAAACAGGATTTTGAAATTATGTAGGACAGGGAATTCTGACACCATTTTTCTAGCTAAGAATGAAGCAGAAAGCCCACAGGAAGGATTCTTTTTATCTTTTCTGGGCAATATAATTATGTGCTAACTTCTCTGTGTGGTTAACTGAATAGGATGTTACTAATTACTAATCACCACCAGGAAAGGGATTAAATATGAAACCATACATATCTGAGATACTTTCCAGGTGGAGAAATAGGTTTGCTGACTTTAACCTTTTGTATATCGATTTTCTCAGTCTTGTTTCTCATCACTATATTGCAGACCAGATGCTGTAAGGAGCTGAAGAAGAAACTGTCTTTGGCACAAAGCTCCTTCTTAAACCAGCATCAAGATATCCCAGCTATTCCAGATTAAAACAAGGCTAATTCCTCTATTTTTAGGACTATTGCCCATGCCTTACCATTTTGGGGTTCACATACAGTATTATTGCAATCAGAAAAATTAATTTGCTAACATAAGCTAGAGGTGTATGTTCTGATTCTTACTCCTAGTCAATTCAGATCAGTTAGTTATTTTCTGAGAACTGTTTTGGTTGAATATCATGAACAAATTAATCAAACATTCATCACCAATATTGAGAAGAACTAAACCTGCGTTCTACATGGATTTTTTTAAAAGCTCTAGAAATTTTGGACCAGCTAGAGAGAATCAAAGTGCAGGCATTGACCTCACTAAGATCAGATTTTCATTTTAGATGTTCTATTGGGCCACTGAATTATTTTTCTTTCTAATTTCTAAATGAAAATCTTAAGATTTTTAAAAAAACTTTAAAAATGCTTACACAGTGATGTACATCAGTAATGTATGCAGTAAGCTCAAAACTAATGACCATCTGCTCTCTCAGGATTTGGCTCCTTATTGAGCAAGATGGTAGGAATTAACCTTTTAGGTACTTTTTCAGGAAGAAAAAAAAGGCTGACTTTTTTGTTTGTTTGTTTGTTTTGTTTTGTTTTGTTTTGTTTTGTTTTGTTTTGTTTTGTTTCCTTGCTTTCTTTCTGCCTGGATGCTGTATCCAATTCCCTTTAAATCCTGAGGTATGCAGGAAGATGGGGGTGGGGAGTGTTTCAGTTGTCAGGATACCATTCTCTTTAGTGTATATTGGGATATTTCATATTCAGCTTCAGTTTTGATTTCATTTGTCATCCCACACTCTTAATTATGCACATTTGGCAAATGCTGAATATCTGCAAACCAGAACCTTGGGTCTACAGTTTCTGTGGTCTGTAACAGAGTGGTTTTTTATGTTTTGGTGGGGTTTGCTTTTGTTTTTCTTTTTTCTTCTTTTTTTTTTGGTTTGGTTTTGTTTTGCTTTTGTTTATTTGCTTGCTTTTGTTTGGGTTTTTGTTGTTGTTTTGGTTTTCTTTCTTTATAGAAAAGAAGAATGGATAAAAGAATTGTCCTGTTTTTTCCTCTCATTTCTGAAGGGAAATTAAATAACAGCCACGGCTCTACATTACGGCCTTCCTTTCTGCTTAGCTTTAATTTTAGTCATCTTTTGCTGGTTCCTGTTATACTCAGTTCCTGAACTCTCAATACAATAAATGTTATTGTTCATGGGAAGAATGAGTTGCATAAATGTCAAGTCATCAACAATCAGCTGGCCAGTTGCCTGAAGCCTTTTTTATTTTCTTCATGGGACATAACTAAAGTATTTATTCATACAAACAAATCTTACACACCTAAGTAGACCTATTGGCAGTAGTGGTGAATTTAAGGTGGGAAAAAAACTAGGTTGTGCAATGTCTTTAAAATCTAGGACTGAAGATCTAGTTGTCACAAATCTTTAGCTGTTGGCATAAATTTACTTGCTTTTGGTAACATATACACCCCTATAGAATTTTTATTTTTTAAAAAGGCAGATAGAAGAAATCAAATTCAGAAGTAGCAAATTGTTTTGCAAGTAATTTCAAAAGCAAGGGATGATGTGTTTAGGGCAAAGATAGAGGCTCATGATATGTTTAGTAAAAATATGAAATTGGATCTGTCTCATGCTATTAGAATCTCATTGAGTATTGATTTCTCTGAAAGAACATAGTAGCACAGAGAGATTGTTGTCTTACTTGATATACCAAACTTAAGTTCAAGACTGTGGAAGACAGTTGTGACAAATTTGACAATGACACCATCTAAAGAGGAGGAAGGAAGCAAGCTGAAAAGCAAAAACTATTTATTAGAGAGAAATATAATGAAAGGGAACATTATACTTCTTGCACTAGCAGGAATAGGAATTATTAATTTGTTCAAAAATAAAAGATGAAACCCATAGAAATTTGCAATACATTTCAAGCAAACATTCAGAGTCTCAGAACAAAGCTATAAAGTGAGAAACCCACTTTGAATTTCCTTAAAGCGAAAGTTTCAGGCAATAATTATTTAATGTAATTCAACAAGATCATATCAGGGGAACCATCAGATTGAAATGACTGGTATCTGAGGAAGTCTCATGTGCAGACTTCTGAATTGACTGTCACAAAGGTCTTCTGACACTCCCACAGCTGTCCTTACACGGGATGCTTCCTCACCATGTTTAATATGCAGCATGTTTCCTTTTCCTCACCTAATATGAGTTCCTGGCTGCAGCGTCCCTTTCTGGGGCCACCAAGCAATAGCTGTGCTCCTCACCTAAGGTGGGACTCAGTTACTTAAACACAGGTGTCTGGCACCACTTGAGACACCTTGGGCTGGCCTACCCAGCCCTCAGCTGCTGGTTGAGAGAATGCAGGTGTTCTCTAAGGCTGGTATAAGTCTGTCACACCAACATGTCTTGGGCATCTCAGGTATTATTAAGATGCTTGCTTAGGTCTCTGACATGTGAGCTTGGTATCTGGGCTACCAGTGAAGTTTAAAGAGCTGCTCTTCTTGCTCTAGTCACCTCCATGTGACCCCTGACATGCCTCACAAACCCTGTTGACATCTTCAGCTTTACCTCTCAGCAGTTTATAGCCCCTCAGCTCAGCCCCACAGCCCTGCCCCCAGGTTACCTGCTCCTTAGCTCCAGCTAAGCTCCGTAGCAGCAAGCACCCAGCCATCGGTCCCCCAGTACCCTGCAGGGTCTCTGGGTGCCAGCCCAGTGCAACTAGAGCACTGGTGTTGACTAATAGCTTGGCAAGTGGCAGTGGCAGTCCTCTAGCTCATTGGCCAAGGATGAGAATCCTCTGCTGAAAGGAAGCTGATAGTTCTTTCTGTTAGAGTCCACCAAAATCTGTAGAGAGGACAGCAGATGGACAAGAAAATAACTCATGCAGGAATTCTGAAATGCCATGAGATTTGTTTCTCTGCTCTAATACATGTTCAATAATTCTGCCTTTCTGTTGTAAAGTCAGAATCCCTCATCTGCATGTGGTGAGTCAGTTATACTGGTGATAACATGAAGTGTCTGTGCAGTGACTGGAACTATGTGAACTTTGAACAGAAGATTTGTTTCCCAAAAGTTAATTTGACATTTCCTCTTCTTGTCTGGTTGTGTTGCTTTGGTGTCTTACAAAAATATATTTCTTCTTTTTTCTTCTCCTAGCAGCTAGAGCTGGTAGCTACTTCTCATAGACGGGATTCTTTTCTCCTTTACATCCTCTTTCAAGGTGAATTTTAATAATAACTCGTGTGCTACAAACAATCTTAGTAATTTTAGTATTTTGTAAAATGTCTTTTTTTTTAACATTAAAAAAAAACCCCACAACAACCTATCAGGAAATCCATATTCAGTTTTTTTCCACAGTGGAAACTGTGAATTATTTATAACAGTAGTTTGATTATATTAAAAAGCACAATCCCAAGTCTGCAGTACATTACTGGCTCCATTCCTTGCCTAAAACAGGCGTGTTTATATTTTTCCTCAGTAAATATGTGATAATTAAATGCAAATAGACCATATTTTTCAAATGAATTCCCAACCCTGGAAACTTGGATGATGATAATCTTGCCTAATAAATGCACAACTGCAAGTGAAATCAAAGTTTACTGAAGCAGAACATTCTTAGCAGTCAGTAGCAGCCATCATTTAGTGAAAAAAATCATACAGGATTAATATAGACACATCATTGAAAAATGGATAGCCCAAAGGTATTTTATAATTATGGAATATACATAAGTATTAATTGAAAACACTGTGCACTCTTTGTGGGATGTTCTCAGCTAATCCATTCCTTTAAATTATTAGGCTATATTGAAGTCATGCCTAAGGCTGTCATCAGCTCTCCTGCATGCTCCCCATTGTGTGTGTTATCCCCTGTTTCTAGGTCAGCTTTTCAGCCTTTTCCTTCCCCTTGTGAAAGAAAGCAATTTCTCTCCCATACATTTCATTTATGAGGAGACATATGCATGTTTCCTGGCTGGCAACACCTGGTCTTCTCCCTCTCCCTTACAGCCTGAGGTCTGAGTCTCCCTTGGAGCTAATGGAAGGACTTTGGTAATGTTCTGATGGTTCTCTCATCCCATGAGCAGCTCTGTTCCTTCCTCTTTTTGATGAACCGTGTCTCTTTCTGATGTCTTTCCAAATCTGGGCTAAAGACAGAGGAATGTAGAATCCCAGAGAAGAGATCATCAAAGGAAGGACTATTGCCTGTCCAGCCTGCAATGAGAAACTGACACATCATCTGCAGCCATCCTTGTTCCCTCCTCCTTTTCTCGTGCTTCCCAGAATGCTCCATTTTCACACAGCTGTTTTTCAACATCTGGAAATATATCATCGTATGCCCTTAAGAAGAGCCTCTAAGTGGGATTTTGTCTCAGTGGCAGGATGCTGGCAAGAAGCCAACCATTGTCTTTGTACTACCTGCCTCCTTGTCCCAAATAACTCAATTTTTCTTTCTGGGATTCCTGTAGCTGCACCCGCAAGACCATATTCGTAAGGTATTTGGAGAGACTCCTATGAATATATCCCCTTCTTTTCTTATGACTTCCTCACATTAAAACTATTTTCCCTCTTTAACTAATTCTCCTTAACAGTTAAAGACAAAGGCTGCATTTTGTTCACTCTTTATGGCTTTATGAATGGGAAAGAATATTATACAGCCCATAGGAAGCATGAAATAAAAGTCTGATAGCTATTCCTTCTGTAGCTCTCACTTTCATGCAGTGCTGTTTTCTTGCCTGAACCTAGAGCAAGAGAGTTGCAGGGGAGGGAAAGGCAGGTTCCTGGAAGAAGGAGTAGCTGACAGGATGTTGCTTTTGTTGGAAAAGATCCGTCCTGTTTGACAACAGGGAGGACCCAGTAAGGCTGAGTGCTAGCTACCAACCAAGCAGCATGTTGCCAATCAGAGTGGGGAGTCCAAACTTTCCTTCTTCCTGCCAAGAAAAGACATTTAAATAAGGACTGAATTATGATTGCAATTTCACTCTGGTTTAATGCAGACAGCAGAAAAACACAGTGACTCACTCAATGCATTCTTGCCTGTTCAATAAATAAAATTTCCTCTCAGAAGCCTGTAATTTTGCATTTGTAGAGAGGCATAGTGAACACTTGGTCCTAGGATGTACATAGCACAGTACCTGAGATTTCATGTTTAGGAAGACCAAGAAATGAACATGTTTGAAAGTTCCCAAAAAAGGTACAACTTACATTAAGTTTCTGTTTCTTTCACAGATATAGAAGTAAGTGCTTTAAAAATATGAAAGGCATATAGCTGATCCTAGTCCCACAGCTTTAAATCTTAAAACAACCAATCTGCCTCAAAACAGCCCCTTTCTACCCTTATGTCCTGTAGCTCTCTCCATGGTGTATGGTAAGGGGAGTGAGCCAGAGGGGATGGCTGCAGAATGTATTGCCACAGACAAGGCTGTAAAGTTACTGTGTAAACAACAAATTTACTCCGTAGCATCACTACACTAAACAGTGATGGGAAGGGGAGATTATTTTTCTCTTTCTGAGTCCTCCCTTGCTTGTGGTCCTAATGCCTGAGCAGTTTCACAGTCAAGGCCAGATGACCCCCAAAAGTTGGCAAAGTGTATTGGCCAGTGGCATTGTTTGTTCTTTATCTGAAGGTGACCAGGAGATATGAATAACAGCTTAATTTTGGATTTTAGATGCAAGCCTGAGGTTTTCACTTTATGTAATGCTTTCTGAATTGTCCTGAAAAGAACTGAAGAGTTAGGCTGAAGTCCAGGAAAGGAAATGAATGGTAGAAATGATACATAATCTCCCCTGACATCCTGTTAACATAGCCTCGTGCTTAGCCCAAGAGCTCTGCCTTGCAGAGCTGGCAGGGTGAACAAGACCCTGCCTACAAACGTGTTTTTGCAGCCCTGGTTTGATGTGTACCACAGCCTTTAGTGCATGCCAAGATCTCTGTTTGCTGCTGCAGCACTGGGCTGGGAAAGCCACACGCCGTGTGCCACATCCCAGCCCTCGGGCCCCTGTGCTGGAGCTGGCATTGCTCAGGTCACACAGGCTCAGGTCTCTTCCCAGGCATACAGAGCCTGAGCCTCAAAGTGTGCTAAATACAAAAGGAAGATTTTAACTGACTTCAGGAAGTTGTGTTCAAGTCCTTTGGGGAAGAGCTGGGATGAAGGACGGGAAGTACAATGTCTTAGGTGGGTGTTTCCCCAAATAATTGTTTATTTATGAATGTATTTATTGACTTCTTTTATGTTTTAATCACTGTGGAAGCACAGCAATCTGATGGATGTATATTAAATACAAAAGGGGCAGTTTACTTTTCAGCAGTTAGAGCACCTGCAATTCACATTAGTTTCAGCTGGAATTCTGTGTGTTCAGCAAGTTAAACATTCAGTAAACAATGTTATAACAGCGTTGACTTTAAGATGAAATCATAAATGCATGAAAACAGGACAAAGCCTATAGCTATTTGTAGCTATATTCAAGCTGTTATGCCTCTTGGTCCTGGAATAGAAGGCTGGAAAGGATCTCAGTGGCTGTGGATTAGCTCAGTTCTGTAATTATAGCACCTGAGATGAGAGCTGCTACTTTGCTTGTATTAAATAACCAACCCAAAATTGTCATGTAAAAGGAGGATTAATTTTTTATTACAATACTAAAACCAAATTCATCTTTGAGCTGAATTAGTCTGATTTGCTGAGTTCTGCAGGCCACCACCTTTCTTGTTTAATATGCTGAGACTACTAATTCTCCATTTCTGGTGGGAAGAATTGAGAGGGTGCAATTTAATGCAACCTTATTGCTCCTGCAATATGTCCTTCCCCATAGAATCCCATTTGTGCTGTTTGCCAGCTAATATCCATGTATTTCTGGCAAAATCATGGTGCAAAAAATGAGTATCTTAATAAACATAGTGAACCCAAGTATTTGTGCATAGTGAATAACTTGACCTACTAAATTTCATCCATTAAGAGAGACTTAAAGGACCATTCAGGCCCTGTTTTCAGGTCAGTCCCAAAGTGTATTAACCTGTTTTGAAATGCCTGGAAGCTGTGGGAAATGCCCACTGAATATGCTAACAAAGGGAAACTAGAGAGCTTAAATGCGGCCAGAAAAGAAACAAAACCAATTTTCTATCTGCTTTGGTAAGATATTACTGACTCAAGAGATTATACACACCAGAAATGAGATTTGGAGTACTGCTCTTGGAAATTACCCCAACAGGAAAAGGCTACATCCTTCCTTGGATTTAAAAAATATTGTGAGAAAATCCCGTCATTGTGCTTGCCTTCCCCACCTCGTGCAAAGAGTACCAGGGAGTCATCAGAAATTCTTCAGTGTACTGACACAGTCTGACCTTTTGGAGGATTATGGAAGTGTATAATAAAAGGAGTGAGCAGTTTGGAGCACTCTTTCTTGGTTCCTACACAGATACACCAATTTCTCTAGTCTGATGTCACATAGCACAGCAGTGGACTTTGAGGAAAAGAGGAGCTGAAGATGCTCAAAAATGACCCATTATCTACTTCAGAGAAGTAAGAAAGCTAGAGGATGGAGAGCATATGAAGCCCCTGTGTGAAAAAAAAAAAATGCACAGAGTAAAGAGGAATAAGGTCCCAGACTGCCACCCTGTAAGTTTGCAGAAATTAAGAACATACATATTACTTAGAAATGGGGACCAGAGCAGGTAAAGCATTGACTAGATTGTCACAGAATGTCCTGTCTAAGGTGGTCAGATCCAGGTAATCCCTTCCCTCTCAGGACCAAGGATTCATCATGCCTCTCACTGAACAAAGGGCAGCCCCTCCTGCCTTTGGAGCAATCAGATTATTTATCCAGTGCCAGGAGCACCTGTTATCACATCTCTTTCAAAGGGATTATTTCTGATTCATGAAAATTAGGGAAGTGCTCAGATGAAATGCTACTATTTATTATGAAAGCCTGACTCTGATCCCCGTACTTCAGGGCCTCTGTTATGAGCCTGTTTCTCTTTTGCAATCCCATTCCTAGTACTTCTTTCAGTAAACAACAGCTGACCCTTATAAGTATGTGGAGCAGACTGGCCCCAGGCTCTAAGGGAATGAGCTAGGCTGTTGTATGTTCCACAGCATGGGTGGAGGGCAGGAGGGGAGGGTTGGGTTTTTTGGTAGGGTGAGGGGTATGGGTGTACAGTTAGTTTTGGGATGGAGGGGACCATCATAAGACTCGGGCAGGTCTTGGGGTTCTGGTAGTTCTGCTGTTGTTTCCCACAAATTAAGCAGTCTTCATGGGATTTTGGAGGAGCTATGAGAGACAGGGAGGTTGTAGTTTTATAACAGAAAACAGGAGAGAGGAAATTTCTGAAGTGATATCTGCTTGTGGTTTAGCCTTTACTGTATGAGAGATAGTATTCCTGAGATCTGAGTCTCTTTAGCCTGGTTTTCTGCTCTAGACAACTTGGTGTGATTTCTTACTTGATACAGGGAAAAAGAGATGTGCCAGAGCCTCACTGATCTTCCTCCAAAAAGAGGAAGACAATGACCACACATGCTGCTGGATAAATAAGGTCCCAACATGTCATTAGATATCTAACAGGCTCTGGGACTACAAAGATATGTTTATTGTTTGCAAGTTTTGCCATTTGCACAGTGCTTGCCCAAGGCCTTTGTGGCCAGGTTCAAATCCTTTTTTATTCCTCCCACCGAATAGTGGTTTATTTTGTTATAAATCATTTATTTCCACACCTCATGTGAGACAGATGGCATTGTTTGCTTCTTTTGAGATGGTGATCGTATTAAGGGATTCTTGCACAAATTCTACAGAGCAGATCCTATCACACAAACTGGGGACATTCTGTCAGCACCTTGGGAGTTCTTCACTGACTTCCATGTGCTTTCAAGGAAATTTCCTGGTATTTTGGTCAGCACTGGTGGGCCTCCCACTTGATGGAGGTCTCAGCCAAAAGTAATTTTCCTCAGCATAGTATTTAAATCTGTAAGAATTCTACTTCTAATGCTAGAAATTCACATTTCATCAGTTTCATGCATGGTAAATGAGAAGATATAAATAAGCTAGAAGATGAAATATATATATATATATAGTTACATATATACATATTTATTTCTAATATATAGTTCTAATGTTGTCAATGTATTTTAAATACACTCTTAATTGATCCTTTTTCTCTACTTTACAGGCAAGAACTAAGCCACTCCTTCCCTGCTTTCAGCTTCTGATTGTTTTCTGTTCACTGAACTCTCCAATATTATTTGGTGATAAGGACTAGGGAGAAGTGAGTAAGTTATCAAAATAAATCAAATATGTCAAGATGTGGGTAATACCAAGTCTTCTAAGTGTGTATAGAAAAAACATGTGTGAATATGGAGAGCAATTGTATCTTTAATGTACCTGGATATGGGAATTCATTTATAAATAAATATTTTATCTGTCAGCTCGAGTAATAAAGGAATTTGCACCAAAATGGAGAGAGTCTGCTCTTGGAGGGATAGAGCTGTAGCTACACAAACCTGCACATGACAGAGGTTAGGCATTTTGGCCTTGACTTTTAGTAATTACTAAATCTGTCCAGGAAGATTCCTTCAATTTAAAGACCAGCAAGAGTCCTACCAGTGGCCTGCCACTGGGACTGCCTCTTTCTGAATTAAAATGTAGATCTCTAACACTTATGCAGAACTTTGTTCTGATTGCTGACAGCTGAAATTGCTATAACATAAAAACATGTCATCTAGGAGTGATGTTGAATCAATATGACTCAGGAGAATAAACTGGACTACTTCACAGATAGTTCAGCCATGACATTTTATCTCAACTTGAAGTCAAGATCAGAAACACGGTTAGCTAATTTTTTTGTACAATCCAAATGGAGATCACAAATGTACTCTTCTATAAATCAGAAATGTTTTCATCTGTAGTTTATGTGAAGTAAAGATTATTGTCTTCTGAAGAATATATTTTGAGGAGCTATTAAAAACAAATTGAAAGTGCTCAAGAAGCTTGGAAACAAACCACTCATAGCAGGAGACTGATGTGAAAAAAATGTGCAAAGCAACGACTGAGAAGAGATAGGAGGAAATGCTTTTTCAGCCAACCTGTAATTAGCTTGTGGAAGTCAGAGCTACAGAGAGTCAAGGGTAAGAATATAATTAGATTCCAAAAGGGACTGGAAATATATATTGATGTAATTAATTATAGCTCTGAATATATTTCCTAAAGTGTTTTTTTTTTCTTTTTTTTTTTTTTTATCAGCAATATTAAACCTCACTCTTCTCCCTGGAGGGATTGTGTTTTTGCAGAAGGCTGAAGAACACATGGGCAGGAAACAGCTCTTAGGTAGTCTGCAGTGCACAAATGACACTCCTGAGGGAGAAACAAAGGTGCTGTTATGGCATGAGCAGAAGGGCCAGTAAGGTGCTGGGTGGTCTGTGTGTGTGAGACTGACACAATAATGACTTAGACTAATACTCAAACATACAGTCATGGATGCCAGATGGTCACCAGCTGGGAGACAAGTCTCATTTTTGAAACTGTACATCCCTTGTAAAATATCTCTGTCGCTATTAGCCTCTGTAAACTTTGACAGTCTGCTCAGTTGGCTGGATTTAACAGTACACTGAGTATGGCAGCTATAGATACTGAGGTAAATATAAGTTACAACTGGAAAATTTTTCAAAGGCAACTATTATCATTAGTTTACATAAATTAGAAGGCTACTGTCATGTGCAAAGACCACGTGGAGCTTTCCAATATTGCACATTCATTTTTTCAGTGATATGATGCAAGCCTAGGCAGTGCCCTGCAGATGACAATGTTTTTACTGGGGGCCAATTTTGCCCTTTCTTATCACAGAGGACAGGAGCTAATATTTTCCTCAGGACTTAAACACATAGCTTAGCTGCTAACACGTTAGGAAAAACAAAGTAATCAGAAATGGGGTGGTGTAATCCCAAAAGTAAAATAAAACCTACACTGGAATACTAATGAACCATGTGATAAAAATACTGAAGGTTAGAAGTTCTTTTGCGAATGAGTGAGGAATAACAACTTTCTGCAACTTCCGTTCTTGGCAGAAAAGACTTGTGATTGCATTTGCCATGGGAGCTCAGGAACAGTCAGGTGATACCATCTGAGCAGGTCACCTGATGCTCATAACCAAACAGGCTCAGCCCCCTTGGGATCTGCTCTGCTCCATTCCAAGGGTAGTTTTGACCCAAAGGACCACATGCAGAGTTATAAAGAGTATTTGTGGAAAGAAGGAGATTGTGTAACTGAGGCAATAGACATGGGTATATATGATGCCCTGACATGCTCACTGAAATTCAGGGGTGCTTCAGGGAATTTGCATAATTATTTTGGGTGGGATTTCTTCTTGGCCATGGTAGCAAATTTATTTGTTTTTTTGTTTTGTTTTGTTGGTTTGTTTTTTGGTTTTTTTTGTGGTTGGAATACATTGGAAAAATATAGGTGATCTCTAGCTATTTATGTTTCTTTCTTTGGATTTTCCATGTGTGATGAAGAAATTCAAACAAAGAGAAAAAAAAATCAAAATAGAAATCTTTGGCACTGGCTTGATATGGTCATGTCTGGATAAATTTTGAATGAAACAAATCCAAGTTGCAGAAGAGTCCCCTTTCATAAAAAGACTGCTAGAAGCACAGAAAGGGCATTGTAATGCACTACAGAAATACACGATAAAACTGTGTGAGGACCCTAGTGTCTGCTTTCAGTAGCAATATAACCTCGGACCTTAATAGGTAACAGAAAGCTGGAAAGCTTTGTCTGTGTCTCAAAAGCAAACTGTTTCTCCCAGAAAAGCACAGACAGATAACTGTTTCTGTCACATATCTCTTTGGAATAACTACATTCCATCCACGACCAATAAGTGAATGCTAGAGCTGGGCTGCAACCTCCTCCTTCCTTTGAGAAACAACTGAAGCCACACCTTATCATGGACTTTCACAGATCTGGTTCTAAGTGTGAAAAACTGCAGTATTCTTCTAGAAAAGAAGACAATTATATTATCTGAAAAAGAATAAAAAAATAAATTAAATTAAATGCATATTTTCAAAGGGGCAGTTTCCTGAATGTCCTTTTCCAGGTCCTTCCTGTATCCATAGAGAATTTTGTATGTATTTTCATCTCCTTATTTACAAAAAAAAATTGTTCTTGACAGAAACTTGCCTGTTTTAGGAAAACCAAGCTGGTATGTTTTCTTCAGCAATGGGCTGAGTATTTGTGATACTAATGCCTGATTAATGCCAGTTTAAGTTGCTGGTGATGAGTGACCCACTGACTTGAACCCTCGTTTATTCTAAACTGGAGAGGGATCTGCTTCTTCCCCTCATTCTTTCAGGCTCCAATTTGAAATTTGATCTGTTTGACCTAATAGAAAACAAATTTAGAAATGCTGAATATACCTTTTATCCACCCTCTTTACCTCTTCTTAGTCTTGTACCTCTTTAGGAATGTAAACTTGAAGGAAATAGAAAATGTTAGAGTTGACAGTCACACACAAAAGTATGAAATTCCATTCGCAGGACAAGTATAAATCTGGGAAAATGCAGTTCTAGTGAAGTACAGCCAGTGCTTAAATACTCACTAAGAAATCAGGTGCCTTCCTCTGTACATGCTGCTTTCAGAGACATATTCATATTTCATGTATTTTACCTATTATGCATTATGTATTATGCAAGGGATGACTGAAGTTCATTGCTTTCCTGGCTGCCCACTCTCAAGACTACCATGCATTAAATGAAATCTATTAATTCTGTTGTAAAGTTGTAGGCCAGAGCACCTGGAATACAGGAATTATCTCTGAGAACAGCATCTCACTAAGATGATATCATGGTGAGAACATCACACCCTCAGAGAGCCACGGGCTGCTCACAAAACCAGTTAAAACAGACAGCATCTCTTAAACTTTCTGTCACAACCTTGGTTCAGAATGCAAAAGCATAGCCAGAATAGTTTTGCAGCTTGTGCTTCCAAGCTGATTCTTTACAGACCCAAAAGCATGCACTAGACAGATGTTGTGCTCAGTCTGGTAAGTTTGCATATGGCACTGATGAGTTGTAGATATCAAAAAATTCTTGGATTCATATAAGTAGATATGTCCAAGTAAAATCTGTGACTATTAAGGGGCTGTTATTCAGAACTGATGTAGCTTGGGACTGGAATATTAATATTCTGCTTTAGGCCTCAAATATGTAGTATATCAACATGAAATAATTATTTTATCTGAATTTTTTTAGATGTCTCATTAAAATGTAGCAATTAAACCCTAATTTCAGCAATATTTTTTACAAAAAAGTCAGTAGCTTTAAGAATCTATAATTTCTTCAGCTATCTTTTTATTAATTACAGTGCTATAGACATTTTCATTACTTAGGATTATACTTTATGGGATTTTGGATCGGGTGGATGGAATTTTCAATGGAAAACTACATTTTCCTTTCAGAAGTATATCAACTCTGGTGATGAAAAGGCACCTGTTATAAATAATCTTATGATCTTCCAGAGGAAAATATCATTTCTATTTGTAAATATAATGAAGAAGAAATCTGTGGGGAGTTTCTTTTTCATCCTTATCAGACACCTCTCACATCACACTGTCTTGCAGCCTGAGCAACGTGTGAAAATCCAATGTGGGAGTATAGGAATTATTTAACTTAAGGATTTGATTAATGTCTAGCAGTTTCCATAAGTTTCACTCTAATGTTTCCTCAATTTTTATCTGTCACAAAAAATATACTAGAATTAAAATTTTTTTTATTTTTAAATTTTTTTATTTTTAAATGCCTTTTGGTTACTCTAAAGCTGAAAGTCTGTCTCTCTCTTTCCAAATATGATGTGTTTCCTACCAAGAGATCAAAGCAGTGGTGAGCAAAACCAGAAGACAGGCTGTGTTTGGAGCATTCTCTTTTAAACAGGACTTGCCATTTCAATGAGTTGCTTCTGAGACAGGGAATGTGAGCCCTTCTCAAATAAATTCTTGTGGGCACAGTAGTGTTACAGAGAGTAAGGGAGTAGCATTGCTCTGATTCTCATGGTTTGCTGGGGGGAGCAGTACCTACTTGGATTATTTCCTTCCTTTTACCAATGGGTCCTGGATGCCTTTCAAGCACTTCCAGTCCATGTGCTTTTGAGAGCTTCACCCTAGAAATTCACTCAGGGTCTGCCAGTTTGTTTCCAGAAGAATATATTTAACTTTTAAATTAGCCAGTTATTCCTCAGAGGAAGTCTTGAAGTTAACACAGGGTGAAAATCCCAGCTGCTTCCAGAGAGTGAGGTGCTGTAGCTACAGATCTCTGGGGTTCACCACTCCTTGGGGATATGGAGCAGCTCTGTAAAGTACATCAGCTGCTCATGGCTAGTGAAGGACTGTCCAGCAAGGACTGCAGGAATGTGCTGTGTTCCAGCAGTGGCTGGAGCCCTGATACCTTT